TATACATATATGCTTATGTTTCATTATGGAAATAAACAATGGAAAGATTTTGTTTTATGAATGCTATATCAGAGATATGCTTAAAGTTCATGATGATAAATATATGACATGTGAAGGTGTCCATATGGATGGATTTTCCATTGATGAACACACTACGTTTGATCAATTTGCTGAAAAACTATATGCTTTAATAATGAATAGTGTGAAATTTTTTATATTTGCATAATGAAGTTTTTTTTTCCCACATGTTCAGTGCAAAGTTTGATGGAAACTGATGGATTATGGTTTCTTAAATCAACCTCATTTAAGAGATAATGCATGAACGTCATAATCCAAAATGGGGCTATGTCTTTTCAGGTGTCCGACCCCAAGTTAGGTTGGGGTCCAGCCATACCCAACTCTATGGTAGGCCAGGACAAGACCACGTCTGGTCCCACATTAGACTTAGACATGATGATGTTTGGTCCCACATTGGACTTGGACGTGACCATGCTTCACTCTACATTGGGCACGAAAGCGTCTACGCCCCGCTCCATGTTGGGCCTGAACATGTCCGCACCCAGCTTCACAGTGGACCTGGATATGTCCGTGCCCCATTTTCTCCTGGGTTTTAGGCATGGATTCAGCCCAACATTCCTCAAATTTGGTGCATAACTGATAGGTTTCTTTACACTAAACCCCCTATACTCTAGGTTTGGGTTAGTAATTATGATACCCATCACATCTTATTAAATACGAACAAGCAACTCATGCTTATATTAATTAGATGTGACGACACGAGCAATAGAATAATATTATTCTACTATTACAAGATTACATCTCTATTCCTCCTACGTTGTATGAAGCAAGTCAAGTAAGGTAATACAAAAGGAAGCATGAATATACAAGAAGGGGGTTGGAAACCTTAGACTCAAAGACAAAAACACTCTCTTTGCTTCTTCTTCCTTCTCCTCTTCTCTATCTTTATAAAAGCTCATTACTACCTCTATTAATGTCTCTTGTTATATAAAAAAAATACTTCATACTGATTTGATCTTTGCAAGATCCCCATCAATATCCCAGGAGATTTTGTACATATATTTATTCCAGCAAGAGTTGATATTCCTCTAAAGAAAGATTTATCCAAAAAAAACCTGAAATGGAGTTCATTAAATACATCATAAAGGAAATGGGGTCATTTCAAGGAATAATTCACCTTATAAGATTCCTTATGATTTTTATAACCTCGTAGAAACTAACCTGAACAGTACCTTGGTTGGCTCAAGCAATTCTACTCCTTCCATGCCACTTGTCTCTACTTTATGGAAATTGATCGATTATTGAATCCGAAGGACAAATTTTTGGTAGTGTTGGATAGTCACGAGTTGCATTGACAAGTTACAAGTTTGCCTTAGCTCATCGTTTTTATTAAAGTTTGTCAAAAAAAGATGCTAATTATACAAGGGCGAAGTGCACGGGAAAATAATGTCCTTGGAAATTGACTGCTAGCCAAGTAAGCCAATATGTGACTATGCTATGGATACAAGTTACAAACAAGCTGTGGTTGGGGTGGTGTGGGGGTCGAAGACTCCTATAAACCTGTTCCTCTAATGTGGGAACTTTTAGAGAATTCAAATCCCGGTCATCGTTTTTATTAAAGTTTGTCAAAAAAGGATGCTAATTATACCGACATTCCTCTACTGTGTTGAAGTTGTTCTATACTGATTTTCCTTACCAGCAAAACATTGATCTCATATGTATATATAAAGCATTGTTACAATTCGTTGATAGTTGCAAGAATAAGTAGCTAAAAAATATGTAAAATTTACTCAAGCTCATGAAGGAATCGGAAAAACTAATAATTAAAAAATTAAGATTAAAAAAAATCATATCCAAGTAGATAATTTAGGGTTAAACTCATATGTCATTCATGAAAGGGAATTTTAGGGAGTACAAAAAGAATTGAACTCTTTTAGGGAAAAAAATTATTAGAAAAAAAATATATGCTTAAACTAATTAGTCCTTTTCATACTGAAAATGAATTTACGGGTAATTTTGTTTTTAACTAGAATAAAAAAAAATGTATAAAAATTAGCCTAAAAACATCTCTAACCCGAGTATCATTTTGTGGGTGAATTTATTTTTTATTTTTTATTTATAAGTTGATATTGGTTAGTGAAAAGGGATTTTTTGCCCCTTCCATCAAAAATATCCATAACCACCTTTAAGGTAAGAAGTCTTAATTTGATGCATGTGAATTGGTGATGGTTTTTTAGTGTTGGAGTTTTTGAGATTATCAGCAACGAATTTACAAGGATAACGCTTGAACTTGACATCTCTTCTCTTTTTACTTTGAAAGGAGCAACACCAAACTATAATGAGTGATATCAATGATGAATATACACACCAAACAATTCCATTTCCATTTCCATTGATCAATATATGAATCTAATCCCAATTCCAAGCCTCCCTTCAGATTTATGCAACAAATGCACGTGGTACAGTACTGTGTAGAGGCAGAGCAAATGGGCCACCAGCAGTTTTCATGGATTGATAACCCTACCTAACATTAATGCCAATTTATTCTATTTTTTTAGTTGTGCATCTTTATGATTTAAAAGTATTTTAAAAAAATATTAATTTTTTATTATTTTATTTTAAATTAATATTTTTTTAATAATTTTAAATTGTTATGATATATTGATATAAAAATAATTTTTTAAAATAAAAAATATTATTTTAATATATGTTTACCTCTAAATATCGGAAGCTTTATTTAGATGAAGTGGATTTTTCATAAAATAGACTCCATCATGCAAACAACAACATCCTCTTCCCCGTTAACAGAGGGCAGCAAATAGATGTCATCGCATGTCAACTCATGACCGACCACATTAAATAAAGTTGGCATCATGCACAATTTCTCGACAAACAAGCTGCCCTGTCTTGTCTATGATACACAATCCGATTAAGGTTGTGCATTTCTAAATATACATTTGAGGTTTGCCTTATGGGTCCAAGTGCCCTTCTCCAGAGGAGAGGTGGACAGTCACAATTTACGTTTTGCATGCATTCGACAAGGATAAAGGAAAAAGACACCTTGAAAGATTCAAGGGACTCTTGGGGGATGGTGCAGAAAGGAGACTTGGTAATCGAGGCTCACAAAGTAACTTCTAGAGAAAAAAAAAGATCACTAAGATGAAGAAGCAGACAAAAAGCTTGTTTATCCAAGGCATCCAAAGCTTTAAGCAAAGTTACATTACAATTATAATTATATATACTAAGAAAAGCTAGGGAAATCACTGTATCAACTCACAATATCTTCTTCTTTTTTCATTTCTTTCTCAAAACTTTTTTCCAATTACAGTGTTCAATTTCATAATCAATTTGTCAAAAAAATTAAAAAATATAGAGCAATAAAAAACCAATGTGTAAAATAAAGAAAAATTTTATGATTAATCTAAATTTTAATAGAAAAAATTTTCTTTAGTCCACCTACTTCATGTTTTCTTGCTCCACAATCTCTTTATTTTTTTTTCATTTTGATTTTAATCTAAAAATTTATTTTCTTAACATTCTAATATTTGGACCTAACACAAAAAAAGAAGAACACCGCCTGAAAATATTAAAGGAGCAAAAAATGTTAATGAATGATCACTTTCATCAATGAAATTTGTTGTTCTTTGTGTTATGGTTCCATTCAATTAAAAAAGTTTGATGATGTTAATTTTTTTCTCTAAATATATCTGAAAAAGTAGATCAAGTGTAATTTAGATTTTTATTTTATCTGGTTGATTTTTATTTTTATGTTTGTGATTTTACAAGTGACGTATCACCTGCTTAAAATAGAAGCATATGACACTCCTAAGGGTAAAAAAAAACAAGTCATGGGCCTAGATTTCAATTCTAAGACATATATAGGCCCTTCCATTAAAGTCATGGTTATCAGTATAGTCTTGTTTTGTTTGTTTTTGTTGAATTTTTTTAACTTCATTCATGAAACAATTGTTTAATTTTAATTTTGATTTTATAATTTTTTTGGTTTTTTTTAATATATATTTATCATATTTTTAAATAAATATCTTGGCTTTTAGTTGTAACTCAATTTTGTAAAAAAAATTTAAAATAAAAAAATAAAGTTATTAATCTACTAAAGTTTATGAGTCAAAGTTACAAATTTAACAGATTAAATAATAAAAAATAAAATTAATATAATATATTATTATTTTAATATTAAAAAAAAAAAACTTATTTCAAGTTTTTTTTTTTTAAAAAAAAAAAACTTATTTCAAGTTTTTTTTTTTTTTTAAAAAAAAAAAAAAAACTTATTTCAAGTTTTTTTTTTTTTTTTAAAAAAAAAAAACTTATTTCAAGTTTTTTTTTTTTTTTTAAAAAAAAAAAACTTATTTCAAGTTTTTTTTTTTTAAAAAAAAAAAAAAACTTATTTCAAGTTTTTTTTTTTTTTTAAAAAAAAAAAAAAACTTGAAATAAGTTTTTTTTTTTTAAAAAAAAAAAAAAAAAAAACTTATTTCAAGTTTTTTTTTTTTAAAAAAAAAAAAAAAAAACTTATTTCAAGTTTTTTTTTTTTTTTAAAAAAAAAAAACTTATTTCAAGTTTTTTTTTTTTAAAAAAAAAAAACTTGAAATAAGTTTTTTTTTTTTAAAAAAAAAAAAAAACTTGAAATAAGTTTTTTTTTTTTTTTTTTTTAAAAAAAAAAAACTTGAAATAAGTTTTTTTTTTTTAAAAAAAAAGCAAAACCTTTTCACTATTAATTTAACTTTGCTTTTAGACTCATTAAATCTCTTGAGTTATAATAAGATAAATCCTGAATAATGTTATTTAAAATTTAGATAGAAAAGTTTCAAGATTAAATTCTTGGAATGAATTTAATAACATTATAAAAGAATTTCCTCCCGACATTTAACATTTTTTGTTTTTCATGATTAAAAAAGCTTCAGTCCAACCCATAATGTAACACGCCAGTTTTCTAGTTTAAGAACTGGAGAATGACTTGGTCGCCATAACTGCGAATAGAAAATCCACATTTATATTCTACTTGAATATTACAATGTACATGGAGAGCATCCAGGACATAGCGAAAGGGTGCAACACAGCTAAGCAAGCCTTCTGTCAATGGCCTAAGCAAGCCTTCTGTCAATGGCCTAATATTAACAAAATTGTTTCGTGGATTGATATAAAAGATGCGAAGGTTCTTTCCTAACTACGGTCCACGCGCTTTCTGCATTCAGAATGGCCATGAGAAAGACGAAGACAAGCTGCCCCAAGTCACTGTTCGGCAACACATTCCAAGACCCCACAACAAACACCAAGTAGGAAAAGCCATTTTTATCATCAGATTTTTACTCAAAAGAATCATGATAGTGGCCTGCACCAGTTCATTCTTCGATGTTGTAGGTCCATGCTTAAGTTTTTATCAACGGTTTACCTTGGTATGGAGCTGAGAGAGATAGACCTGACACTGTATAACAGTTTTACCGATCCTAAACCCAGGAACTACGGTGAATGCCACTGGTGGATCAGCTTCCGGTGCATTCTCTGAAAGAAGCGCATCTTCCGCAACACATTCCATGTAAACTTCAGAGAAACGACACCCTCTACGGACTTGAAAGATTGAGGCTTCTGGGTCGAAAGAAAAGGCCAAGCAATGTAGTAGCCAGACCCGCCTAGCCATTTCAACAAATGTGGCAAAAAAACTATTGTCAGGAAATTCACCTGAATTCACGAGGCTTCTTTGGCTCAGATTGCCTAAAAAGGACGTTTCCATCTGGGGGTGTATAAGTTGCAAGTACTTGGCACGACAAAATTTTGCAAATGTTGATTTGGGCTTGAGGGCAATGTATTCAGTTGCTTTCGCAGATTTCAGTTCAGTGAATCTCCTGAAAAACAACTGTTGCTGATTCTTTTTCTCTGGTAGAGATTCTTCCTTTAGAGAGAAATTAGGCAAATGGAAACCATCGAACATCTCTCTGCTAACAAAGCTTTCAAATGCAAAACATTTGTCATCTGCTCTCCAGTAGGCCACATCGGATACAATAGATTCAGCGGCCGCATCTAGATCCCAACCAGCAGATTTCATCTCATCAATCATCAACTTGACAAAGCTTCGAATGGACTTGTCTGTATGTCGTAGAACTGTAATGAAATGGCTGGGACTTAAGCCTGATTGCCGTAGATTGCCAGGCATAGATAAATGTCCACTTTGATTTAATCTCTTCTCAAGTAATCGGTTTTGTCTATTAGATTCTTCCATTTTTTCTCTTAGATACATGATCTCGGACTCCTTGAGCCTCAACTGAGACTCCAATTTCTTCCCCATTATCTCATAGATCTTTGAAAGACTCTTCTGCTCCTGAATCTCAGCCAAAACCAGAGAGGTCTCAGGAGAAGGATCAAACTGTTTTTTTATGTAGCACCGCTTCAAATCAGACAGATTCTTCAACTCAGAGACTACCAAATGGTCAGCTCCTTGAATCCCATCAGCATCATAAGGAGACTGAGCATACTGTAACTGAGCATATGCAGCTTTTACAGATGATAAGCTAGCAAACAGTTTGGCAACAAGTACTTCCAAGGCCAAGCTTTTTTCATGTTCATCGTTATCATTGATGTCAAATGATTGCGGCCGGCTAGCTGCGCTTTTATGGCGATGCTTGTCATTCTTGACCTTTTCTTGGGCCGCAACTTTCTGAACCCCGTCAACAGGAGCAATCCCACTTGCTGCTCGAAGATGAAGAACTTTGGCTACAGTGCGTGCAAATTTACTCTTCCTAGGAGTCACGGCGGATGGTTTTACTGAATCCATCTGCAGAAATTATTGGAAATAGTGACAATTGCACAGATGGTAAGAAGATCAGATAACGGAAATTATGCGATTGCAAATCAAAAGGGCGAAAGGTTAGTGCAAAAAAGATTTGAGGATGATGATGGTGAAGATGATGGAGTTGAAGCAAAGAGAAAAGCAAAAACTTCAGCACCTATGTCAAATTTGCTTTCCTATTGAAAGAATTAAGGAGTCGGACTTTAAACGCGGGAAAAAAAGAAACTGGTGGAGAGAAGAACAGAAGCAGCAGCCAATTCAAGGACACGCACAAAAAGACAAGTTGAAAGCTTTATATGCTTGTCTCTATTTGTAAACTAGGCATCTCGGTAGGAATGGATAATTTATGAATCTAGCTGAGAGAAAACTTTTGGGGAATTAACAAAGTGATAGCACTTTCCGTGGTTCTGCATAATTTTGTGGTTATTCCATTTCTTTTTTTATTCAGGCCAAGTGAGACCTACTATTCAATTCAACATGGGTAGGCCAACCACGTTCTTAAACTAATATAATACAATTAATCCTTCAAAATATCTTGGAATCCTATCCTCCAGTAGGAACTAGAGCTTTTGGATCGTATCACACAGCATTGTTTAGGTTACACTTGGAACAATCATGCCTTCATTCTAAACAAAAAGATATCAGACCACGATATCCAATCCACTGAAATAACAGCAAGCGAAAATCCACTGATATAAAAGCAAATGAGATGTCTAAGAAGAACGTAGCAGAGCTTTGAAACTCGCAGTCACAAAAATGCTAACAAAAATGCTAGCAAGTGGCAAATTTACGAACTTTGGGAGTTATTTCATGCGCACACCCCTAAATACCTTCAAATTTTCATCCGTTGAACTCCATGTTCATGAAAACACCACAAAACAATTTACTCTCCATGGATAATGACTGTGTAAAAGTTCATTTACCCAGAGTCTTTTTTCAACATGCAAGTTAAGTGCAAATGCACAAGCAAAATTCCCTTAAAAAAATGAAATTAAGAGTCGCAGCATGAGATACTTTTGGCTTAACAAGAAAGGCCTTGATAATATAAACAGAAGAACAAGCGATATAATGTTTCGTGAGAATTGTAAAAAAATGCATGAATTTCCTTCTCAGAGGTAAGACAAGCTAGTATTGTCAATAAATGGATCAATTACAACCTCATTGACAACCATAATACACGAGAAACATTTACCTATCAATAAAGCTAATTTGTGAATGATATATGAGTATTAATTTTGCCAATGAAGCACACCTCCACATCACATAGAACCATTGCATCGGTGGATCTAATCCAACTAATTTTTATGATTGAAAAACATGTCAAATCAGCAAAATTGAACTCAACTAATTTTTATGATTGAAAAACATGTCATATCAGCAAAATTGAACTTTAACATTACCATCGATTGACTCCATAACAGTGAAGTTAGAGTCGCATCCATGCAAATGAATAAGTTTATGACAAATTTCCATTACATACTAATCATAGCCCTTAAGATCTTACACGACAGACACATCCATCTTGTTGGGCTTTATGTGATATGAGGATCATTATTATATGACAGTATAAGGCATTAAATTTCTCAAAATCCAGAATTTGGGGACACTTATTTTTCCAATTTCATGAAATAAATAGCTATGATAGGTAAGACAGGCAAGTCTTGTTCAAATGAGGGTACCTCAAGTATTATTTATTCTAAGGGTTTCTCAAGTCTAACACTTGCATCCCAGGCTCCAAATGTCTCGACTAATTTCTGGTTCTGGGGAGGCCCCCTAAACCTGTGGAACCAAATCTTAAATCCACAAAAAAGATGATAAATAGTGGATAAAATGGATCATAGTTCTTCCAAGAAAAGTTGTAGTGGATCTTGGAGCTCCTTTTTTCATAGAAAACACATGCTATTTAGCATAGTAACTCATTCAGAATGTCTGAGTTGTACTCCTCCCTCTGACATGAAAAGGGTGAGACACATGAATTATTTCTGGTGGAGGATTTTTATATTTTTGTAAGAGAGACAAACAAACTCCTGTTGTATCTAATAATTTATCCTTCACACAAGAGGGCATAATAATAAACACACGGATATGTGAGGCACGTGCATGATCACTGATGCTATCAACGTGGCAAGCACGTGTGTACAGCAACCCCAGAAATCACAAAGCAGGTGCACATACATCAGCTCAACACGGTAAAGAATCATCGTATCATAACTCATGAAGTTAAAGCCTGTTCGTGTCAATGAAAACGGAATAAATACTATTCAACTACTGAAAGTATCACGAGAAATTATCATACCTTAAGAACCGTGCGGGACTTTGTCAAATTGTCTTCATAGGGACGTACGCCTCAAGAAAACACAAGGGACACCGCCTCTTGCCGACCCCTTCAAAGTCTAAAGAGACTAAACCCTGCAATTAAACCCCAGATATATATAAAATATATAGACACGTTATTAGGAGGAGAGGAGAGAAAAAAAGCCTCAAAATTAACAATAAAGAAACATATACTGCGTCCCTCTATTTGAAGTTATCAGAGAAAACAAACAAACAAAAAAAGGAAGGGGATAAAAAATAAGAGTTCAGACAATACAATACTTTTGAGCTCAAAAGAATGATAAACAGAGCTCTAAGAAAGAAAAAACAGAGAGGGAGAGATGCATCAAAGGCCAAAACCAATGATTTTAAACAAGAAAAAAGAAAAGCAAGGAAATCAACAAAAATAAATTGAAGGACGAAAGAGAGACAAGCTTGAAACAAACACAAAACAAGTTCAAAGACTACCGGTGATCCCACGATAAAACAAATGGAAACTATCAAAAGCACCAACCTTTGCTTTCCAAGACAACAGCAACTAGCACCCTTTAAGCCCTTTAAACCATAAAGACATCTAAATACACATATGGTATCTTATAACTGACTGTTAACCTACCATATCAGACATGCGGAAGCAGGAAACAAAACCCAAAATGGAAACTTGATCAAAAACCAATTTCAACCTTCAAGAACTTACTTTACAAAGAGGAAGAAACTCTTCAACGCCTTGAAAATATAACAATTACAATATTCTAGCTATCAATCATTCAAGAAGCTGAGACTTTGTTAAATCTCTATTGCCATTTTAAAGCCAGAAAGGATTGAATAATAAAAAACAAGAGCAGGAAAAGAGAAAAATAAAAAAGAGAAACTCTGGGGGAGAGAAATCTGAGCCTGAAACTGAGAGGGGCTAATGTGAAAAGACAAGGGAGGACACAGACTGGAAAATGTCCGACAGAACAATGCGTTGGGAATAAAAAGAGAGGCCTGGGTAGGGTCGCTTTCCATGGTTTATCTAGTTCAACATTTTACCCTTCTTATAGTGAGATATTACATAGCCGTTGTAGCAGGAAAGTTGTGGAGATTTGGGAGGAATATGGGGATAGTATGGGTATTTCGAAGAGATAGGTCTGAGGAACATGGATCTTACGCAAGGGCACAACAAATAGACATGGAAGAAACGAAAGGTCGGCATGAGGCTTTGGCGATTTTCTTATGTGTGAATATCTGGACTGCATACAGATGTGCGAGTGATTTCCATGATGAACAAGTGGCAGAGAATTAAACTTTTGGTGGCCCATAATTGACTGATTTTTAGAGAATTGATGGGTCTTGTCGGCTTTTGATTTTCACATGGGTGTTATAAAAAAAAAAAAAAAAAAGGGGGGGATCATTTGTAATATTTGAATCGTATCACTGGAATCAACTCTTTCAAATCTGATAATATAAATATTATAAAAAATAATAAATTTAAAAACTAAAATATAAATATTACAAGTATAGTGGCAGATTCAGTTTTTAAATACTGTCAACCTTACTCCATACTTATTTTACATTTATATTTAATATTTTCTGAATTAAATATTTATTTTTATATTATTTAAAAATAATTTCTATTAACTTTTTTTAAATGAAACAAATAAAGCCTAGTCTATTTGTTGAAAGAAAGGGGGTTAACTAGAATTTAATAATACTATAATATATAAAAATTAGACATGATATTTCTGTCTATATATAAATGTAGATTAATAACAATTAACAATACAAACTTAATTCGTGGATATCTATAATATTTACAAAGAATTTAGTCCAATTTAATATATCTAACTTGTTTAAATAAATAAAAATAAAAAAATAAAATTTAAAATTGATAATATATTAAAAATTAAGTTGAATATAATTATGGATTCAAATTCATCTTTACTGTATCCTTGAATTCCTCTAATTTCCACCGTAACCATTGACTAGCTGGTTCTTGTGAATTTGAAGATAAAAAAAAAAATATTAAGGGTCTAGATTTATTTTTTTCACATTTGGGTCTTTTAACTTTAATTTAATGCTTAAGTTGCTCATTTTTAAACTGAAATTTTTAACAAAATTAAATTGTTTTATGATTTTACCATTTTATATTATGGGTTGATAACACATCAACACCTTGAGAGATAATTGAGAATTGTTTAATAAATGGGGATTTGATTGAAAATATATTTTATTTGAGAAGTCCATCAAGAATTGAATGATAGTTGATGGACAAATATACCCTTTCGTGTTCTTTGAAGGAAAACTACCCTTTCCCTTTTCCAGTCATCTTAACATTGCTGGCAATGTCCTTAAAAAGATAATAAACAAAAAGAAAACTCTTATATTAACCTTTATAATAAGTGAAGGATTCATAACTCATTCATGGTCATTGATATGAGATTAATATTTAGAGAAAAGAATACTAAGAAAGTAAAATTTAATGATAAAATATTAAGAGTATAAAATATCTTTTTAGAGGGTAAAGTGTTGAGGGTGTTATATATATATATATACACCAAAAGAAAAGTAAAATTTAATGATAAAATATTAAGAATATAAAATACCTTTTTAGAGGGTAAAGTATCCAGGGTGTTATATATATATATATATACACACACCAAAAGGATCATAGTAAATCGAATCAATTTTAATGTATATGATTATAAAATATTAAATAATGTATATTTATGGTTTAAAAGTAAGAGATGGAATAAAAAATTAAAAAATGAAAGTTAAGTTTTTTGAAAAGAGAAAAATGCACAAAATCCAACATTTTCCCACTCCAAAAACCTTTACTCCTCATTTCTCATGGTAACATTTAACCTCTTTTTTTCAGTTAAATGTTAACTGTTTTAAAATTTCCCTCTCTTTCAAAATATATATATATATATATATATATATGGATAAAGAATGTCAAAAACTATAAGGATGATTTTCCACCCATTAATCCTTATATCAAACATATGTTAAGGAATATGATTAAACTAAACTTCAAAATTATACAAAGTTATTTTTCAAATTATTTCAGTTGTTGATCTAATATATAAAGTGATTGTCAAAACTTACGAAAGGAGTACATTGATTCTAGCTTCTTCTTCTTTTCTAACATTCTTGTTCTAAGTTGAAGTTGAATTAGTAAAATATAAAAAATCAAACTAACTTGATGTATAATTACAAGTTTTCCTTCTCTTAAACCATTTACCAATAGTCAAAGTGGGCAAGCAATAATGCCTCATATGTCTTTCGCTTGTAATATCTGTAGCTTATTAGAATAATATAAGTGTAAATTTAATATTGTTATAGTTTTTGTAGTTATAATTTTTAAAAATTAGTTTATAAAAATTTATAAATTATAGTTCCTTTTTATAAGATTTTAAAAGAGAGTTTTCAATAGAATCCATGTAAAACTATTATCTATATTAATTAACTAAAAACTTTCAAATATATAATTAGGACAAAACATAGAATGTATTGTATAAACAAACAAAACCTTACTCTATTTATCATATTTGAAATAGGCAAACAATTTGATTAGGAAAAATTCATTCAATCCTAATCTTATATTTAAATTATGGTGTATATATTAACTAGAAACTTTTAAATATAAAATTAGAATAAAACACAAAATGCACTAAGAAACAAACAAAATCTCATTCTATTAACCATATTTCAAATAAGCTAACAATTTGATTAGAAAAAATTCATTGAACCATAATCCTGTATTCAAATTATTTTGATGATTTTTTAGAAAAATAAAATACATACATCCAATCATTCTGTTCATGGATATATCTTAAACATCATAAATATCATGGAAGTATTTGTAAATGTTTATTGATGTAAAAGAAAAAAGACTAAAAATAAATAAATAAATAAATAATATCTAAATTGAAACTTCTATGAAAAAAAGACTAAAAATAAATAAATAAATAATGTCTAAATTGAAACTTCTATGGGAAATAATTGATATATTAAAAGAGAGAATCTTACAATCATCATGTAGGTCTCTAGACTATATTTGATTGACAAAAGAAAATAAAAAACAACACAACACAACATTAGATTACAATTGAAAAATATTATGTTTTCGTTATTATAAAGTTAAGATGTATTCCATTTAGATTTTTTTTTTCAATAACAATCTTAAGATTTTAAAATAATATCATAATGCTCGAACAATATTTGATATTGATATTTAAGTTGATTATTATTTTTGTTAAAAACAAAAAATTATGCCAACTATTATAAAATTTTATATTCATTGTCATTATAATATAATAAACTTTGATTCTAATATAGGTATTGATGCATATAATAGCATATATGTACCTAACAAAAAGACCTTAATTGGAAGATCAACCACCTTATTGAGGATTTATATTGTTACTAGTAACACTGGTTGTGGAGATAATACGTTAAAAGATAATCTTTTATCCATGTATTTTTCTCGAAAGCTTTTAGATCTTTCACTAGCTCTTCTATAGTTAACAACTAAGACACTAATTTTAAAATTTGCTAAAGATATCTTAACCATTAGTGTTCGACCACTTCTTAATCTCTAATAACGTACACAATAAGTGTAAAAATGTCTTTTTGGCCACCCAAGTACAACTCAGAGCTCTGTTAACACCATAATAAATTCCTTTTGTATCTCATCCACCCATTCCTCTCGTTAATGCACAATGATAAGTATCATTTAAAAGGAAAATGGGTTTGCAAGATAAAGCTAAGAGTTGAATGAAACACTACCTTTCTTTTATCTATAATAAAAGTCACTTCCACCATAATGATATATGTTTCCTAAGAAAAACCT